AGTGCACAGCTGCGTAGTAGATCATAGCTTGGTGGCGAGTGAAAGCTAGAACAATAGGCCAAGAATGTCTGGAAGGTAAACGGTGAAACCCAAATGAAACATGTAAGCTATGGAAGGGGCAGGTGAAAAGCTTGCTGTAAAGTACGGCTAGATGCAATGCACAAACCAGAAGCAGAGAGGAAAAGAAGCTCTGAAAATGTTTGGCATGTCATTTGCAGGCTGTTTGCATACTTCGACATACGTCAGATTGGTTTTTTACATTTTTCCTATGACAAAGGAAAAATGTAAGCTTACATTTTTGAGGCCCCCCTGGATTTTTAGTAGAATTCAGGGGGGCCTCAAAAATGTAAGCTTACATTTTTGAGGTCCCCCCAAAAAATGTAAGCTTACATTTTTGAGGTCCGAAAACATAGGAAAATGTAAGTTACATTTTTGGACGTCCCCCCCTCTTAATTTGCGGGGATGATCCAACAAACGAATTCATGGCTGCATGTCAACGTAGACTTCGATCTCGAGTGCATTCTGGTGCCAAAGTCTGCCGCAAAGGGTGCAAGGCAAGAGAAAAAAGACGGTAGGAACAAGTGCCACGCTAGTAGTAACAGGTGCCTTACTAGTAGTAACAAGAAGCTAAGAGAAAAAGGAACACTGCCCCAGCTCGCGCCCATCGCCCACGCGGCACGCGTGTTGTGCCACGCCTGCCACGTGAGGCTTTGAGACGGCCATGGCGGACCAAGAACTACACCGGCGACACCTCTTCCGACGCAGCTCTGAGCACCACATGGACGCCGCATCTCGGTGGTGTTTGGGACGTCAAGATTTGCCCTGTGGGTTTGATCCATTTTGATTCTTCAGCCATAACCTTGCAAGTGGCCAGAAACAGCCTCCTGCGGAGGAAGTCTTGGGGGTCGAGGAACACCCGATGTTCTGATTACTTCACTTCCTAATAACGTCATTGGACAGCACCGGAGACTTTAACCAATGTTTGTCTCACAGGGTGGCTTGGAGGGTTTGTGCTTTAGGTACAAAAAGACATGTTGTAACATTTTAACATAACATATATTGATTGCTGTCAATTATAGACTATCAAACTTTTTTAGAATTACACTTTAGCATACTGCGCTATGTTTGTTGCAACATGTTGCGAAGGCTAATTGCCACTCCTTAGCTTCAAATCCTACTGAATTCCTGCTTCCAAGCAACCAGAGATTTCTTCTCAGGCCTCCATCGCCGCGCGTGCGCTGCGTAACCGTCGGAGCATGTGAGACGAAAAAGGGCGCTCGTTCCGGCTCCGCAGCTGCTGAGGCTG